GGGGGGCATCGAGAAGGGTTTGGGGGGACTGGAGGCGGGGGGGAGGCTCAAGGGTGCTGCTGGTACCCAAGGGTGTGGGATGTCACCCGGGGATGCGGGTGGTACCCGGGGGTGCTGGTTACAGCCTAAGGGCCAAGTGGTACCCGGGGATGCGGGATGCTGCTCAGGGATGCAGGATGCTGCTCAGGGATGCTGGGCGGTGCTCAGGGATGCAGGATGCTGCCCGGGGATGCGGGTGGTACCCAGGGATGCGGGATGCTGCCTGGGGATGCAGGAGGGAGGGCGGCGCCGGGCGGGGGATGCTCCGCAGCGCTCCTGCTGCCCCCTGCTCCAGTGACCGCGCTGCTGTCGCCGCTGCAGCCCCGGTACCGGGTGATGGCGGGGGGGAAGCCCTGGATAATGGGTCTGCGAGTTTCCTGCAAGCACTGAGGGGCTGCAAGTGTTGGGGGGGGCTGTGAGCCCTGAGGGGGGCTGTGAGCTGTGGGGGTCCCACACCTTTCCCTGCCTGCCCCAGCCCGGCCCCAAGTCATTTTTTGGCGCGGGGCCAGCTCCCCTCCCCCCCGCGGGAAGCCAGCACTCCTGGCTCACGGCCCCCCTCCGGCGCTGAGGCCGGGCACACTCGTGTCCTTGGTGGCCCTGCCCAGGCCCGGGGGTCCAGGCGGGGGCAGGGACGCGCAGTCAGGGGGCACCGCCCCCCCCGTGGCCCCCAAAAACACGCAGGGGTGCCTGCACAGAGCTCACCCCGGGGGCACGCCCACGGGCGGCAGTGGGCAGCCCCCCCGTGTGCCCCAGCCCGCCTGCACCCCTCCGTGGGTACCCACCCGTGAGCACCCCGCTATGCACCCACCCGTGCATCCCCCGTGTGGACCCCCGCGCAGTCAGGGGGCACCGCCCCCCCCGTGGCCCCCAAAAACACGCAGGGGTGCCTGCACAGAGCTCACCCCGGGGGCACGCCCACGGGCGGCAGTGGGCAGCCCCCCCGTGTGCCCCAGCCCGCCTGCACCCCTCCGTGGGTACCCACCCGTGAGCACCCCGCTATGCACCCACCCGTGCATCCCCCGTGTGGACCCCCGCGAAACCCAGCCCAGGGTATTTGGGGTGGTTGTAGGGACATTTGGAGGTGGGCACTCAGCTCAGC